ATCAAAAAAAGATGACATGGAAGTAAAAGTGAGACATATTAGACATGAGGAAAAAACAAGGGGAGGGTAAGTGATGTAGGGGAATTGTGAGGAGATGATATTAAAATCTACTGTACCCATTGAAACCCAATATTTTATAAAATCAATAGAATAATAATCACAAAAATATTTTGAAAATTTCAAAAATATATCAGATACTGGTGAGCCATTGAGTTTCACAGTTCTCATTGAATCCAGTGAATATTTCTCATATGAGGTATTGACTAAAACATATAATGACGTAGCATGTAAAAGGTTCTGATATCTTCTTTTCTTGTGAGCCACAGATTATAGGTTGCACTGGATATCAAATATATTGGAATAAAAGGAAGAATGTTCACTTTGAGATGCATTAAGCAGCAGAAAGCAAAAGAAATGGAACAGTACGCAAAACAACTTCCAATAACTCATTCTCCACTTATCTTTGTACTTTTGAACTTCTTAGGTTTGAAATGCTAAGTGGAATTGTTGAGACGAGAATTCTCAAGATTCTTCAATTAGCAGTTTTTCTGTGAGCAACTGGTCGCAAGATCAGTAATAGACATGGCATGGAAAGACAAAGCACATAGATTTTTTTTTTAAAGCACATAGATTGATGCTACTTGTTCACAAAAGAAGAACCAGATGAAGAAAAAGAAAGGAAAAGAAATAACCTCCACCTAAGGTAAGATCAACCTGAATTCACTGAAAGTATTACAGGTAAACTGACGAGAATAGCAAGGACTAGAACTCATTGGATCCTGAGCCACATATTTCTCTGAACAAAAATTGGGTGGTGGTAGAAGAGAAAAGTATAAGGCTCAAAGGTGAGTTAGAGAAGAATATAGATACTATGTATGCTGCCATTTACATAAAATTTAAAAACATGGAAAAATAGTATATATCTAGAGTATACCTGTATTTAACAAAATATGAATTATTTCAACAAATATAGACAATGTAAATGTGTGCATGGGAACAAAATACCAAATTTATGAAACTTCTGCCTGTATCAAGAAAGAGTGTACAGAACTTCAACTCCATTTCTAGTGTTCTGGCTTAAGCTATGGAATGATTACATGGGTACTGAAAAGGTCCATATTCATATCAGTATTGCAGTACTTATACGTGAGAGAGTGAGTGACAGGGAAAGAATCTTTTTTTCTATACTTGGTTAAGGTTATCCAATATCAGATGACTCACATTAGTAACTTCATCCATATGTTAATTGCATAATTTATAATCTTATGTTATCCTCACTACATCATGGGTGCTTTGTTGGATGGCACCTGAAAGGACCTTTTTCATTTTTCTATAATAAAGTAACAAGTACTTCTAGATACAAGTTGGCCTGAGGCAAGGCAGTGAAACCAGAACAACACATGCATCCCAAGCTCCTTCAGCTCTTCCCAATGCCCTCCTCTTCATTATCAGGGAATACAAAAAGTAAGAAGGACTTCTGCTCCCCCCTCATTGCCCCCTTTTCACCAGGTAGTTAATAATAAGCATTATCCACTGTCACTCCCCACACATACCTGACTTCCCTGGGGGCAACCCTTGTTCCAGATCTTTTCTTTATTCCCCTTCTCCTTGGCTCCTTTCAAAAATTTTAACCCACTTCCTCAAAACCATGCCTTGAAATAATATTTGGTTAAAGGCACTAACTTTCAGGTAGGTTGTGATAGCATGCTAACTTACCTCTGAAAGTTCCTAAAGTTGCCTCCTAAAGTTGCTAAGATAGGGAATTTCATGCCCTGTGGGAAAGTAGGGGAAGAAAATGTTAGACTAAGTGACACCATGTGACAAAATAGCAACCTGGGGCTTATATGTAAACTCTCTGACATCCAAAAATTTGTTTAGTGTAAAGTTACTACAAAGTGAACATACTGTAACACTGCTGTAATCCTCTGCAATATCATACACATCGACTGCATTGTAACTGCTGTCAGATTAAGGCATTTTCATTCCTGAGAAGTTATCCTCTCAATCTAAAGAAAATTATCCCCTCTGCCAATATGCAATGTAATGGTGTCTAAAGAAATTACCAACACTTTACAGATAGTCAAAACTTAGCTTTCATCTCTCTAACACATTAGAGGCTCAAGCACACCATAAAAATTATCTTACAGTTTAGCATTTGGTTTTGAACCTTGTACAATTAACCAATGTAGAGAAAGCAAGTTGTTCTCAGTCATCTGATAAAGGAGTAAAGCTAGGAGAAAACTGTAACGGGTAAGGAAGTAGTAGACACTCATTTTAGCCAGGACAGGCAAATGTTCAGTATTTTGTGACCCTATTTTTATCTGTGCTTAACTGAAATTATAAAGTAGTTGTTTTGTCTTCTTTTATCATAGTCTCAGAGCAATATTCTCTGGTTTTAGTGTTCTCTGAGATCGCTTATGTCCAATAGAAGAATTAGATGATATAGTTGAGATGGCCTAGCAGGCCAGATGTGAGCATCAGGAGCTGCTTCATTTTCCCTCCATTGTCAATATGTAGTCCTTTATCCTATGCAGATAGTGAGAGCCATTGCCATAGACGGCAGCACCTGTTTGTCTGTCCCTGGCAAGGTCTTGTATGAGGCACTGCACATAAGTCTTGAGTAAATATTTGCTGATTTATTAGGGTCTGGACAGCTGGTTGATCTGAGTTTCAGAGGCCCTGAATTCAAGACCATTTGCTTAACTGATTAATTAAATTCCTGCTGTCAAGTTGTCCTCTACAGTTTTATGTAAAAGAAGCACGATTGTTTCAACTTCAGATCAAAGGTCAGGAGGTAGCTCTAGTTCTGGCTCCTCCATTAAGCAGAAGGACCTTAGCAAGCCAGTGAAAAGCTCTAGGCCCTTGTTTCCTCATTTGAAAATGGACTTGACTCAATATCGAAAAGCTTTTTCCAGCTCAAAATTTGAGGAGGATGAGTTTTCTCTTGCATGTCTTCCACCTTTATAGAAAGGGCTGAAGATTACATGGTTATACATTAATATAGAGATGAAGAATTATTCAACAAATGATGCTGCAGGTGACCTATTTAAAATAAAAATCGGGGCTGGGGATTTAGCTCAGCGGCAAAGCGCCTGCCTGGCAAGCACAAGGTCGTGAGTTTGGTTCCCGGTACCAGAGAAAAACCAAAACCAAAAAAAAAAAAAAATAAAAAAAATAAAAAAAAATAAAATAAAAATCAAGTGAAATTTTATCTCAGACTATGGATTAAAGGGTTAAGTGTAAATATTCCAAGACCTCCAGAAAGAAAATATAAAATGAAATTTTTCTGGGTGAGAAAAGATTTTGCAAACTTATAATAAAGGTAAAACCACAAAAAGTAAAATATCATTTTGTAACATAAAAATGAAAAACTGCATAGTCAGAAACATTACAATGTTGAAGAAGGAAAATATTCTCAAGAAGTGGTTAATATTGTAAATGTAACCTGATTTCAGCCCATCTACCTATCTCACTGACATAACTGAAGGCAGGGTGTAAACTAAGCCACAGAGTTTAGTGAAGCTGGGAAAAAACTCTTTCAGAACCAAATTTTAGAATTCTCTGAAGCCCATAGAAACTATTTGATAACTTCTCTTTAATAATTCCAGGACCAAAAAAAATTATTATTCATGTAATAATATACCCATATAGCATTTCACAGTATGAAAAATTTTTATCCCATTATTTTGTTTGATTCTGAGAGCAACTTTGTAAGATAGCGAGATAATCATTTTTGTCTTTAAAGATGATAAAACTGAAGTCTAGAAATAAATAATTCCCCCCAGATAACACCCAACTATTAATGCCAATTCTAGACATCAGATTGGGGTTCTGTCTTAGTTTTACAGTCTTTACAGAAAGGATTTTAGATATGAAATTTTCTACATTTTTTCCATATTTAAAGAAATGATTTATGATAATATTATGCTTAGATTTTAATATGCAATAAAGGGAAAAGGAAAAGGACTGAAGAGTCATTCATTTGCTGAAAGAAAATATGTCTCTGGTAACTTCAGTGGGATTTAAATAAATCTTTCCTAAATATATGAACTATGTTGCAAAGTTTTTAAAAACAAAGTTTAGTGTTACAAAACAGTTTTACAGAGTAAGTATAAAACCAAAGCTGATTTCTCCACCACTTCAGAATTACACTTGAATTAATAATTAAATAGGTCTTGATCAACAAAACGTCTCGTTCCTTTGGTGCAGAAGCATGCTAAGAAGCCTGCCTTTTAGATATTTAGCTCTTATATGAACTGGTGCCTTTAGAAAGAAGGTATGTGTTTTTTCATTCTTTGGAGGCACACGGTGATTTGGCAGAATTCATTAAATGCATTCCGGTGCCTGTTACATTTTCAACACTCGGTTCTGACCATATCCATTTTACTTTTGCCTGCTCTTTTATAAGTAGCTCTAACCATGTTAAATCATCTGAATTTTTCTCAAGTTTTTCCCAATAAAAATTCTCCCTCTGGCCGGGAGACCTCTGCCTCCACCTCAGGCTCCGCGCCCAACCCCCACTGCCACCTTGCACTCCAAGGGCCCACGCCCGCGCCGGTGTGGCGCCCCGTCAGATAAATCAGATAAAAATTTTTTCTCAATTTTTCCCAAGTCCGAGGCCGACTCTCGGGAAGCTTTTATTACTGTTTAAGTCTGAGCTATACTACATTTTTAAGATTATCCCTACTTGTATGGGACATCATCAGGCAGAAATTGCGGGACTGTTTGCTATAAACATGCCTCAGGGTTGCCTCCACATTATATCACTAATCTTCGGCCCATAACTGTAAAATTAAAAGGGTACAACTGATGTGGACGTAAAGGGTAGCACTAGTTACTAATGCCAAAAGGAAAAAAGAAAAAAAAAGTCTGGGTAGCCCTCAAACCTAAGAGTCTTGATCATTCATTGGACGGAGTGGATGTCAATCTTCACTTCTCAGCAAACAGCTTAGAGTCTGTTATGACCTCACGACCCCACCCTCTGACCCCTGGCACCTTGAGGAGGTCTTCAGAAGCCGCTTCAGGGGTTGGTGTCCGGATCGCTCTCCTGCTGTTTCCACCGGGGGACCTCTCCAGGCCCCAAGGTAAACGCTTGGAACCTCAGAAATAGGTTTCACCTTCGACCCTACCCCTCACCTCCACCCTGTGGGTCCGCTACCCACAGCCTCCCTTCCACAGGTGGAGAGCTCGCTGTAAATGGATTCCCGCTGGCAGCTGCCATTGCGCGGCCAAGTCCGAGGCCGACTCCGAGGCCGAGGCGACATTCGAAGGCATGGCCGTGCTCGCAGTTTCGCTCGCGGTCTCCTTCGCAGTCGCAGTGTCCTTCGCAGTCGCGGTCGTGGCCATGGCTTTGGTCATGGCCGTGGCCGCCATCTTCACCATCGCTGGCTCCTTAGTCAGAACATGAACTTGTTGGGGGCCCTGGCAGAGATACTGTACGCCACACAGAACGAACCCCTGATGGAAGAGGGCCATTTTATCTGGGTGAGCCCGGAGGCAGAGTGGGCTGCGGGGTGACGGGACGGGGCGCCACACCGGCGCGGGCGTGGGCCCTTGGAGCGCAAGGTGGCAGTGGGGGTTGGGCGCGGAGCCTGAGGTGGAGGCAGAGGTCTCCCGGCCAGAGGAAGGCCAGGAGGAAGAGAAAGGTGAGCAGGCCCGATTCTCGGAGGGCAGGACCCCAAGAAGGAAGCGGATGCCAAAGACGACTTGGACATGGGGCCAGCGGAGGAGGAGGAGGGCGGGGACGGGATGATGAACCGGGTGGTGGACCCCTGGCAGTTCCCCTTGTTGAATTTCCGAATCACGTTCATGGAGCTGGCCAACGCGCTCCTGCAGCGCATGCAGCACAACGACCACCTCCTGATCCGCCCCTACTGGGGCCTCCAGGTGTTGCAACCCCTCCCTCTCACCTCTGCTCTGACCTCAGGCTCAGTCTTGGCCCCCAGAGGGGGCCAGTGCTCCACTTGCCCCCTTGGCCCAAGGTCGTGGCCCCCTGGCAGGGCGGGGGCATGGGTAGAGGTTCGGGCATTGGTGTGGGTTCGGGCGTGGGCATGGATTTAGGCCTGGTCCTGAGCTTGAGCCGGCCGTAGGCGTTACCTTCGGCCCCAGAATTCCAGGAGCCAACAGGTGACAATGCAACCACAAGTAATTCTGTGGAGCCGGCAGTGAACCAGGCAGACAAGGCAGCATTAGAGCAGGCAGCAGCAGAGCAGGCAGAGGAAGAAGCCGAAGAGTGTGGAGAGGAGTTCGAACTACAGATCACAGATGCCAGATGTAAGTAACCAGCTAGGGGACATTGGAGGAGGGGACAGTGGATGGGACAGAGGACCTTCTCGGGGAGGATGGCTAGAGGGGGTGGGAGACAAGCCATGACCTTAGCTCAGAGACAGCTGTTGGCCCTGCGTCATGCCGGCCATGGGTGAGGAAGCAGTGGATCTGGCCTCTTCCAATTTAAGGCTATTCATTTCTGAGTTACTTCGCTCTCCCTGCTTCTGCTACTTCTTATGAATTGGGCTATTTTTCCACGTGTGACTGATCCAAAATTCTATTATATTTCACTAAAGCAATAACTCAATATGAGTTTGACAACTGGGGTAATGATTTTATATATGAAGAAGAGGAAGAAGCAGAAGAACAAACTGAAAACACAGAAGAAGAAGGAGTTGAAGAAGGTCCTGAAAAGGACCTTGACTCAGCAGATGACAGCTCTTAAAAATCCAGGTATAAATTCTAGTACCTGAGACCAATATGTGTTGAGAAAACTGCTGCCAGGAGCAGCAGTGTCTGGGCCAGCTGCTAGTTGGGCATTCAGTACCTGGCCACCAAAACGCGGTCTCCTGTACTAAGTAAGGGATAACTTTCAAATGTTGACTACTGACAAACAGCAAAAACATAGCAATTTCAAGTGGGACCACACTGAATATTTAATACCTAAATATGTGTTCACTTGTAGACTTTTATATTTCACTTGAACTTAGCCAAAAGACCCAGAAAAAATAGACTTTTATATTTTAGGTCAGTCAAAAAAAAAAAAAGAAAGTCATAGTATGATCTATCACTGAACTGGTAATCTTTTAAGGTCTATCTTGTCTTTAAATAGATTTAAATGACCAACACTTTTCTTTTGCATATTCACAATTATGTATTTCATAATGGCATCTTTCTCATATAGTAGATATGGAAACTAAGCATCTGGAGGGGGAAAGGAGTACTATCTGTGCAACCAGAATAGGTTTTTAAAGTTGGAGAGATTAATTGAAATGCCAGAATGCCCTCTCCAATAAAACAAGAAAGACAATAACAGTACACACACACAAATCCAAACCTTTCTGGTGTCAGACAAGAGAGAGACAAGGTTGGTATGATCAGATTATAGAAGCCATCATTTACACAAGCGCCCTGATATTTAACTATCCAAATTATAAGAGAAAAACACGTTCTCCACTTGCTGAGATATAGCACACAATGCAGAAAATATATACAGGGCTGAATACTTTCTTACACTCAGAAAGTCATTTGTGGTGATTATTGCTCTTATAATTGTTCCTTTTCTCTCATTCTGCAGATAAGAACAATGAAAAGAAGACGGAAAAAGAAAAGTCTGTTGTTCAATCTTTTTAGACTTTTCAGAAGCCCATGGAAAATTTTAGCACTGATAGCATTTTTAAATGCATTACACCAAAAATTAGCTAAATAATATTCCAAGTTCATTACCTCAAAAGTGACATCCCGTGACAACTACTCTTTCTCTTATGGATGAATTTGACAATGTTTAATAAAACTAAAAATGTTTGAGTGAATAAACAGTTATGTATAGATTTTATTTAGCTAAATAATCTTGACTCAGATCTTTCGCCTTTTTGTTTTGGCTACCTTACATTCATTGAATAATGAATAATGCTTTAAATTACTATGAGTAGCATAAAATAAAATGTAATGTTTAAAAACAATTTTTGTAAAGACAGACATGGGGGCTATCCTTTAGAGCTATGTTTAGAGCTATGTTAGTCACTAGCCAAGCATGCCTGCGGAAAATTTAGAATGTGGCTAGTGAAAATGAGATGTGCTTTGTGAAAACATAGCATATCTTATTAATAACTTTTTAACAGATTACATGTTGATGTAATAACACATTGAGTTAAAATAATAGTACAAAAATTGTACCAATTTCTTTTTATTGTTTCATGTGCCTGCTACTACATACACAATTCCAGCTGCGTACTGTACTAGGTGTCTACTGGACAGTGCTGCTGCAATGAAGGGAATATAATGGATGGTCCTGGTTGCCTGGTGGCTACATGATGCTGTTGAACCTGAGCCTACAGTTTGACCTAGAGCGGTGATTCTCAAAGTTTAGTCCCCAGAATAGCATCATCACATTACTCAGAAATTCTTAGACTCTACTCAACACCTAGTGAATCAGCAACTCAGTGGAGCCAGCAGTCTGTGATTTAACCAGCCCTCTGAAGGACTCTGATGCCCACTGTTTGAGAACTGCTAATTTAGAGCAATAGGGGATGTAGCTGAGAAAATTCACCAGCTTGAAACTGTTGCAGGCAAACAAAGATGTGATTAGGGTTGGGCTGAGGAAGAGACACAAGGGACAAAGTTTGGCTGTTGGCAGAAGAAAAATTCATAAGGTAAAAACCTGGTGGAGAAGGATATAAATATACCATATATATGAAATCTAGGTAAACATCCAAAAGGCCACTGTGTGTTGATTGTGGATACATATAGAGATTAAAAGGCAGGCATGTGAGAGTTGCATGCAAACATAGCATACAGAAAGGTGAGTGTTGGAAAGATAAACACAGGATGTGAAAGGGGGATTCTATATTTATGATGTTACATGTATTAACCTGAATGGTGGGTCGTTCTAGACTTTGTGTAGTTCTAAAGTAGCACCAAAGGGGGAAGAGAAGGAGAGTAGTTCCTACATTATTTGGCCAGGATTTAAAGAAGTCCTACAATTCTAACACCTGTAACAGCCCTTTTGGGTCATTATGAAGGTACACTGTCATGAGAAGATATATCATTAAATGAAACATATTGTATTAGTTGATTTAAATATGGATCCCCAACTGAACTCTTGTCCGGAGCCTGGGTAAATATCTGGCTGGCCAGGCTAAATATCTGGTCTAGAGCCCTTTTCCCTCCCTCACTACATGCCACACTGGGCAAGTGGTCCCTTGCTTTTGAAAATGGCTTGTTTCAGAATCCAATCAAGCCATGAGACTTAGACTTAGGTCCAGAGCCAGGCTGGATTACAACCAGCAACCATCAAGTCCTGCTACTCACCCATCTGCACCCCCTCACCCAGTTCCCCGGGTATTCAGATGCAAAACCTCTTCAGCAGCACTTCTCCCCATAGCAAGGCCCACCTGGAAGCCATCAACTCGGGAAGGCACATGTTCACGGAAGCCCTTCCTGTGCAGCACAGCCTCTGAAGGACATTTTGCTCCTCTGGCAACCCTCGGGTCTGAGTTGTTCCTATCCTATTAGACGTCCCTCCTCATGCCACAGACAGACCGAGACAGACTACAGAAGAGACTTCCTTGTATTTGTTTTTGCAAATAGGAAAGAACAAAGGAGCTATAGAGAATATGTCTTTTGGCATTAAAAAATAATTTAACTTCTGCATTTAAAAGTAGAGCTTTATTAACTACAAAATAAATTACTAACAGAGAGTTTTGGGAGTAAGAATAACCTAATAGAGGTTTACTCCTCAGCAAAGAGGAAAGAGATGTAACAATTGATATACCAAGACCACCTAGGTAAACAGCATCTCCATAAATGAACTGTTCACTGTGGGAATACAGAGGGCATCAAATCCAGTCAATAGAACACTTAGCATTGGGCTAGGAATGTAGCTCAATAGTACAGCACTTGACTAGCATGCATGAGGTCCAGGGTTCCATTCCAAGTACTGAAAAACAAGCCCTAGCATTATCTCAAGGGCTAAGAGACTATATAAGAAAAAGTAGATGTTTTATAGAGAAAAGGTAAAATCTCCCATGCACCTGGTTGTGTCACTGTGCAATCATCAGTAAAACCAAGCAGCTACCGTTTTTTATGTTGTTTTTTGGTTTGGGGTTTTGTTTTTTTTTTTTTTTTTTTTTTGTCTTTGACACAGGGTTTCACTATGCAGTTCAGGCTGGCCTTGAACTCACTTTGTAGCCCAGGCTGGCCTTTAACTCACAGCAACCCTCCTGCCGCAGCCTCCTGAGTGCTGGGATTACTCAGGAGGGTGACGTGCACCATCATACCCACCTGCAGCCACTGTTTTTCTTCTGAGCAATTCCACCCAGGCTATAAAGGTACAACTATAAGACCAGGCTTGCATTTCTGTTTAAACAAAGTAGCTCCAATGTGACAGGCAGATATGGTGATAGCTATCCTGAGAAGTCAGCTCTGTGCCTGCAGGGAAATGAGCTAGGTTTGCTGCCCGTGCATCTAAAGGGCGCTCTCCCTTAGTGTTTGGTGGGCTTGGGGTGGAATAAAGGGAAGCACAGGGAAAGGAAGATTATCTAGCTTCCAGAGAGCCCGCATGGGACACTAGAGGGTGTGTGCCTTGAAAAGCAAACCAGTCGAGGAGCTGACTCTGGGAGAGGAGGCCCTCATCTTTTCTCCTCTCTTTGGGGGTTCTTCGTGGAAGCTGTGCCTCATGGGCAAGACAGTTGCCAAAGGGAAAGGAGGAGTCAAAGTGTGTTTGGCTATTGCCCCTCCCCCTAGAAAGGGAAGCCTCCTCCTGACTCTCCCTCCCCGCTCTGGCCTTTCAGCCTCCTCTCGTCCTCATGGGTGAGGGTGGAGGGATCACTGGGGAGGTGGGTGCCTAGTATCTTTTGAGGAGTGTGCCTCTAGGAGTGAGGATGGGGAGAGGCTGGTTTCATCACTTGAGGCTTCCAGGTAGTGGAAAGCTCACGTCTCTGTGGATTTAGCATGGAGGACTTGCTTTGGGCTAAACCCTTGTGAAGCACAGACTCTGAGGAGAAGGGATGGATGGGAAGTTGATCTACATGGAGTTGTCCATGTCAAGGCCAGAGCCAGAGGAGAAGGGACCTTCAGGGCCTCCAAACTCGGGGTGGTCAGCTTGTCCTCTGCCTGTTGGAAAGTACAGCTTTTGACATCTGCGAAAGGTTGACTTTTGACAGGGACGGAGGTGCTTAAACAGCAGCATGTGTATGATTGGAAGCACATTTACCTTTCTGAGAAGCTGAAGAGGGTTTCAGTGGTGTTGGGACAAAACACCAGGCACTGATGGACTAACCATCCAGAGAAGTAGAATAATCTTCAAAAAATGTTCTGCCCATTAGGGGGCCACTCACTGCTGCCGGGCACATGGCAGCATGGGTTTGCAGGGGGTATGTACAAAGAGGGAGCTCAGTATAAGTACTCTGTGTATTACTATCACCCAAGCTGAAGGGACCGGAGTCCCCCATGGATATGTGGATCATATATATATATATATATATATATATATAGGGGTAGTGGGCTGGTGGGGTGACTGGCCTTTGCAAAGCATGGAAAAGCAACCAAAAATTAAAACATTTTAACTTAAATCAATGAAGCCCAAAAATACTATCCTTGGGCCAAAATATCTGAACTTCCAATAGGAATACTTTATTATTTAAAGTACTTTATAATACTTTAATCATTCCAATGGCATGTTTTTGATCCCTACTTTAAAAGATATTATTTAAAGAAAAAGATTTTATATATCTATAACCATAGCATCATAGCCTTTTTCTGAGAGCAAAAAGATATGGAAGCCAAATGTAACATTCCAGATCTAGAAGATAGAAAAATATACCATTACTAGCAGCAGTTGTTCTAAAGTCCATGTGATTCATTTAACATTTACCAAATACCTCCATTGTGACAGGCATTATAAGTGTAACAAAATAGGAGGGCTGAACTTTCCTTCTAAAGGGCCTGTATTTCAGAGGAGCTAAACAATGTCCACCCATATCATAACTCAAGTTAGCCTGTGGTGAGGACAGTGGTGGGGAGTAGATATAGAAAAGGCTTTTTTAGAGATGTGATTTGAACCAAGTTGTAAAGGGGGGCTTTGGACTGGTCTTTCATGGCTGTTCCCTGCCTTCTCTCACATTAAATGGAAAGCTTTTCAGTTTGTATGGCCTTCAGTCCCTTACTCATTCTACCCTGTCCCTAATTATACGTCTTCAAAGGAAAAGGACTAAGCTACTTCTGTTGATTGACAGAAGAAATAGGATGGAGGAGAATAGATTTCCCTAAGGAAAACTGAAATACTGACTTGTGCCACTTCCTGGCTTAGAGAAAATCAAAAGTGATGAGTAGAATGAAGGAGAGTCATCAACTGCATACCAGGCATAGGAAGTGTTACCTCTTAAATAGTTTTCCGCCCTGGATGAGCTCAAGCAAATGACCAAGGCTAGGGACACCATCCCATGGATTTTTAGGTTAAGTACTTGTCACAAAAAGAACCCCAGTGTGGGAGCTAGAAGGCACTCTCAGTTTTGTTTCAGGTATTTCTTGAAGGCTCATCTCCCCAGTTATTTCCTTTGTCCTTTATTTTCCTTCCCCATTGACATGGAGCCCACTCCAGCCACCAGATGAGATAACTTGCTGCCACTGTAAAAGGAACATCTCCTGTGGAATCTTCTTCACAAATGTTTCCTCTCTAGCAAGTCCAGTTCCCAGCTCCACTCCATGCAAACAGAAGAGGCTCCCACTGGGAATTCCATTGCCATTTACTTCAAGTTCAACAGCAATCATTATGATTATGTTTTATTTTGGCCCCACTGACCCTGAC